GCTTGCACCCCTTCATCCTTAAAAAACACCGAGCAGATTTTACTGGGAAAAGGGGAAGGGCAAGAACATTCCCAGGAATTGCAGAAAATTTCCTTCCCTTGTGTATGGCTGAAAGAAGGGGAAAACTCGTGTGCACTTAGGCTGCTGCATCATCCATAGGTAGGAAAGAAATGCTCTGGAATGATTCAGTGGCTCCTGGCAGGAGCTCAGAGTCTCGTGGATTATCTGCTGAGGCAGTGACCAGGTGAACAATAGGAGTTTAATTTAAGGAATGTTTTCCCTGCCTTCATCACGTCTCTCCAGCTCACGTCTCCGTTCCCTGATTGTGGTGTAATCTGGCTCATTACTCTGTGGCCGTAACCTCCTCTCCCCTTTTCAGCAGTGGAGAACCGGCAGCCAATTTGTGTCCAGAATTAAGGTTGCGACCCTCTCCGCTTCCCTGCACGCTTGGTGGCTGCTGAAGGAGGTGCAGTGAGGCTCTCTGCTAATTGTTAGGAAAGAAAAATTTCTGACCCTAAATTGTTTGCTGAGATATTCCATAATTTATTTTCCTCTGTGCAGCAACAATTTGCAGCTGGAGCGGAGGATTGATTGCTCCTGGAGCTTATTGGAACTGCCTGGTTTTAAGGGAGTCTGAAATATTGTAGGTGGCAGGAGGTGGCTGGTCACTGTCCCCATTAAGAGGTCCGGTTGTCCTCAGTGGCTTTCACCTGCCTTTTGGGAAGTGACAGTCGTACCTGGGAGCTACAGAGGACACTGCCTTTCCTCTTACTAGTCTCACTGCTAATGCTTCAGGTGAAATGCTTGTTAGAGAAGGCAAAATTGTAGGTTTCTTTTCGGGAAGAAGGATGGGATTATTCTCCCAGCTGAATAAAACTGCAAGTTTGGGGCACAATTGACCCATTTATTCTCACAAATGTACAACAGCTTTGTAGGTGGTAATGACTTCTGTCAAATTCCTTTATTTTATTTGTCACTTTGAACTATCAGCTTATAGAGGAACCACAGACTCCTTGTTGGTAGAAAGATGGCTTTAACTTGCTGAATCATTACAAGCATCTTAATGCAGAAGAAACTAATCTTTTTATCCAGGGCTAGCTTTGGGCTCTGCTTTCCCTCAGGACCTGGATCTTGTAGAGGTAACAAGAAAATTAGCCCTAAAAAGATTACTTTGCTATATGTGAATCAATCCTCCATGCTCCCCACCTTTCTGAAGACTGCTGCGTGCAGTGCTGAGGTGTTACAGCACGGAAAATAGTTGGAGAAACACCCAAGTTGTCCACAAGGGCACAGAGGGCACTTCCCAGTGTTTGATATTTACAGGAATACATTGCGTATAACACAGCGTTCAGGGCTGTGGGTGATTGCATTTTGCAATGAAATCCACCCACATCTGTTCTCTTCCTTTCAGTGCCAAGTCCCCAGCTCCGTGTTGTCTCCACAGCCGTCGGACAGCGCGATTGCCCCCTAAAGTAAGCAGAGGTTGCAAGGCAGACCTGCCACTGACCGATGCACGACGTGCAGCCGATTAACAACTTTATTGGAGCTGTGTGTGTGCTTGGCACGGGATTGATAACTGCTGCTGTCCCTCTGCTGTCAAAAAAATGTTTTTAATGTTTTTGCGAAAGTTTGAAAGTCTGGTGGAATCCTGCGCTATAAATATTTATCTTCTGGTTTCCTATTTTTTCCCACTGGGAGAGCTCTTGGGCGATGGCAGAGATCCCATGGCAACTGCAGCTTTTCTTCTCTTTGCAATCACTGAGAAATGGTGATGATGGCTAGCATGTTGCAGGGAAGAAGAATGTACTCCATCTAGGCCAGACTTGCAAAGAGTAAATTGGAGTGAAAATAGATTAAATTTTTCCATAGTTCAATGGCAAAAGAAAATCACCCATCATTTGCCTTCTCTTTCCCAGATGCATTTAAATGTGGGAAAGGCTCAATCTCCAAAACCCTTCATTTCTTGACAAGCTTTATTCACTCTCTTTTCTCTGCTGTTTTTATTAATTTATTCTTTAAGGCAGTTCCTGCTGTGCCAGCTCCCTTTGCTGCATGGTGCAGAGAGATGTTGTTCGCAGCTCTTGCTCAAGGAATGCAGGATCCTGAACTCAGGGCTTGATAGATACTTTCTGACGCTTCCATGTTTCTTTTCTGCCTTTTGCTATAGGCTTTTGCAACACGGCTTGAAAGGGAACAGTGGAAACAAAAAATCAAAGGCTGGAAGAGTTACCCATCTTTTCTCTGCCTTTTGTTGCACATTATAAAAGTCCCAACTAGTACGGATAAAAGGAAGAAATGAAAGGAGGCACGTTTGAACCTGACTGTACAGTGAAAGTCTTGGGGTGCTGATGCTAAGTGGTACAACAAGATGTTCGGTGTGGGGAAAGTCCTGACCTCTGTTAGGATGCTTCCTGCTTGGGTCTTAGGGTTAAGTTGTTTTTTTCGACACCTTACCTGAATGCCATGACCTTGTCCTTCCCTTTCTGTTTTCAGGCTTTGGGTTTATTGCTCTCCCAAGGAACTCAGAGCACTTGATTAACTCGTAACTCACTAGTTCTTGACACATTAAGCAGCAAATTTGACTCTAATTAACAGCTTTTATTAACCTGAGCTCCCCCTTTCCCTCCCCCTACTTCACTCTAGAGACTCCTCAGGCCATTACAGGTTTTAAAGTTAAATTTGTTTCTGATGTAGGGTTTTTTTTCTTTCTTTCTTTAAATCGTAAAAGCTAATGTGTGCAGACATTGGATTGTGCAGCTCAGCGGGAGGATGTGTGTCTGCCAGCATTTGGAAAGCAAATGTGATCACCTGGAGGGAGGCGAGGGGTCGGGTTGTGGAGAGAGCTGGTGGCTGGCCACGGGGTTGGCTCGACACAGCAAAGGAAGCCATGAAGGTCAGGCTTTCATCAGCTATCCACATGCTGCTCCGAACACTTGCTTCCCGACGGTGGACAGGCTCAACCTCAAAGACACACCGGGCTCAACCTGGCATAAAAAGTGAGACGGGAGAGTGCTGGGGCTCTTGGACAAGTTGGATCTCGGCTCTTCTGCTCTTTTGGAGCCTGCCAATCCTCTGCAGCATGTAAATATCTTTATGCAGGTCACGGTCCGTAGGGAATCAAGGGAATTGATAGAATTGGTTTTGGAAAGTTTTCCTGTACACAGTGTTTGTATTTATCCTCTACGTATCCCAAAGGTGTATGCGCTTCCAGCAAGCAGAGCTCCCTGGGGAGCCCTCCACTGCAGCACAAAGCTGCCCACGGGTTTGGACCGTGCTCGGGATGGATGAGGGGGAGAGAACAGCTGAGGATGCTCTTCTTCAATGCTGAGATTTGCTCTGCTGTTGTATTTCTTTCACATTGGTCAGCAGTTACAGTAGCCCATTGGCAAACATAGCCAAAAAATCTGGGAACACCCAGAGCTCAACTCAGCTCGGCCATTGACTGTTTCACTCTCGCATTCCCCATCTGTGAGAAGGGAGCAGTAATTACTCTGCTAGTGCGTCGAGGTATTCCAGTGTTTTGGTGCCCAAGTTGCTTGTTAAAGTGTTCATTTTTATTGCTTGCAAGGTAAGGGGAGGCTTGTTCAAACAGAAAAAGATATTATCAATTTTCAAAGTACATCGTGGCATAACCTTACCTAAGAAACTACCATGGCATCTTTATAAAAGATGTTTTTCATAAACTTTGGTAAATGTGTTTCACCACTAGCAGGCTATGAATGTATCTAATCCAGTTTGGGACTTTTCTGAACTATTGATCTGAGGGAGAGCTCATGACAGTGAGCTCCAGAGGTCAATTCGGGGGTTGAGAAAAGAGTTTTTTGTATCTGTTCAAAATTGCCATCCAGTTCCTCTGGGTATCTTTTCCTTCACATCTTGCAAGAAAGAGTAAATATCTTTATTATTCTGTGCTTTCTCTTAGGTTTCTCCTTAACTGCTAAACAGCTGTGTTTTTATATTTTCCGTAACTAAAGCAAGAGAAGCTCTCCCTCGATGGCACGCAGTGAAGACAAGGCGTTTTAGTGCTCCTAGGAGGCAAACTAGCCAAGGTCAGCTCAAGGCTCCCAAACCAATAACGTGATAATGCAGTCGCACCACATCACAGCTCGCCCTCCTATGCAAATAGCTTGAAGAATACGTTAGACAAAAACGATCCTCAGGGACTGCCAGTGTAATCTTTTGCAATGTTGAATGCTGATGGTGTGTTACACATCTTTTTCACATTTTATTCAGTTAATTTCTAGATTTGTAATAGCACTCAGTCCCTAGCTCCGTTGCTCAGACTGTTCTCTGGTAGCCTTCTCGATGGTACTTTGCCACACAGGCTTTGAAAATCCAGATAATTAAACCTCATCCTCTGGGATTCTTTTTTCCCATAAGAATTTTAGGGAATTATAGTAGACAGAAGAGGAGTAATTTTCTCTATTTGTTAGTATCATTTTCACCCGGGGAGTTGTAATTTCTTGTTTAGTTTGGTACAGAAGTAAGTTTTACAGGCCTCATATTGTCAGGATAGCTCCTGAAAACCTTCTGGAGTCAGGCTACAATATTTTTCCTTTCTTGCCCACTGGTATACACAATCCAATTTTAAGGCTGATTTATTTTTTAACAACTTCAGTACTTTCAGGTCCTCAAATATTATCCCACCCTGGTGATTCATGATCCTCTAAGGATAAGAGATGTGATATGGGAGCTTTCAGATGATTTTACGAAGTGGGTAACGTTGCCAAGTTACAGGGAGAGCCGTACAGTGAAATGACACCTAGGATGGCTTTGACAGCAAGGAGGTAAATGTATGTCCTCATCGTAGACAGGGGAATCCATCGTGTCTCTGAGGGGAAGGCTGCACTCCCTTCAGCACATCCCTTTGCTAACTTCAAACAGGAGGATGAAATGAGGCTTCATTCTCATGTTTCTATTTATTAGGTGGGCAGGGTTTAGCCTGAGTAGTCAGAGCCCAGGTGTTTTGAATAGGGCTGCAGAGAAAATAAATCAGGTGTGATCCTTGCTTACAAAGAACAGAGATGGATAGTCTTTGTCACTGCCTCTCTGCCAGCAAGGAAAAGAAAAATAATGCTTCCTTCCCCCCTTGCAATGCTAACAACTCCAAGTCTGTGCATTCAGCAGCAGGCAAGACTTGGAACCAAGCTACCTCGAGGGGTTCCCTGCAGATCCCAGACACCAGGTAGGAGGAGACTCATTAGAGATGCTTTGGTGAGTGGGCGTAGTGAGCACACATCTTCCAGGATGTGTTTTTAGAAGGTCTTTCTGAGGTTAATGCTGCATTAGATCTCCTCTTCTGTGCTAAATTAGGTTAATATTTGAACAGCCTTCTTACTAATTTCTTTGTTAATTCCGGTGATTGCCATCTACCAGTAATGTGTCGAAATCTCTGTGTATTTTACTCATGGAGTACCTGGATCTGTGTGGGGGATCAGTGCAGGATCTGGAAGTAGCATGTTCCATCTCGTGTCTCAGTGTAGCCTCTCTGCATGTTGTTAAATACCGCAGATAAACATAAGCATTGAGATGTACTGTAATGGGTAGTACTGAAGAGCTAATGCTCCATTCCCTCCTTCTTTTATCCTCAGTTCCTTTTTCAAGCCACTCGTGGTGAGGTTACCTTCTCCTGTTGAGAGCTGGGTTGATTCTGCTTTGGTTAGACTGCAGCTGGGTTTTCTAGACTGCCTCATTTTGTTGTCTCCTCTGTGTGCCCCATCTCATCAGGTCTGCTTTTTACTTCTTCTCTATTTCCTTGAGATCACACCTCCACACAAGGAAGAAGCAGCTGTTTTACTCCTGCACCTGAAGATTATTTTACATTAAACTGTTCTTAATGGTGATGCTGCCAGTACTCGTTTTGATCCTTGCATCCAGGGACACCTTGTTATTTTTATGGTGTTCTCACCGTGACTGAAATTTAACATACGCATTGGTGTGGCAGCGGTGGGTGCTTGGCTCCACTGTTCTGCTTGGGGTAGGTGATGTACCTGCAAGGTGGGAGTGTGCAGGACCATCCTGTTTTATGCTGTTATGGTGCCCTGTTAGCTTCCAAAGTTAGGTAATTTCCAAGGGCTTGTAATATTTTTATTTTTTATGAACAGCTTTAAATAGAAGTCGTTAGACACTGTTGTTCAATCTTAATTAACTGTCCTCCTTACTGAATTCCAGCCCAGCAAAGAGTGACGGCACTGTGGGAAGGAGAAACATCTAACTAGATTTAAAAAAAGAATAACTAGATTTAACACTTAATTAAAACACAGGACCTTTGGCAGCTCAGGTATCAGGTTGCCTTCTGGGAGCTCAGGCTTTGGGGAATGATGTCTTACTTCCCAAATTACTGCAGTTAAAATGAGTGTGCTCCAGCCATCCTTGGAGAACGTGCCCTTGCTTCGTTCGCAAGGGGGGTTGCTGCTTACAGATGTCTCCCCAGCAAAGGCAAAATGTGAACACAACGTGTGCAAGTAGATTCTTGCATGCTTCATCTGGCAGGTGCTGTAACACTATTGAATAAGAAGCAGTGGGCAGAGGTGCACGCCCTGGTCACTGGGGAGCTGGTACAGTGATTGCTGGGACGCATCACCATTGTCCCGTCCCACTGTCACCAGCGAGGTGATGCTCTAGGAGGGAAGAGTCTTTCATTCAAGCCAAATGCCTGGGTGACGAGGAGATATAGGACTGTTTTAAATGGGAGAGCCAGGAAATGTTAATGTCCTGCTAGAATGTAGTTACGTTGAAGGGAAACAGAGTTACAATAAAATCATAATTTGAAGGTCTTGGAGAAAATAACGTAATCAGAAAATGGATTTAGAGGGCACTGACGTAGACGGTTACCCAAAAGTGGCTTTTAGGCAAAATGAAGTTGCCTGGAAGCCTTATCAGGATTAAACCGGGAATATACTGTGTTGGGCTTTGATATTTAGGACAAAAGTTCTGGAAACAGCTAAGCCACACTCAAAAGGCTGAGTGATGCTGTGACACTTGCTGTCTTGCAGTGCTGTGGGAGGTCTCGCTGGTGTGTGTGTGAGCCACCTGGGGAGCTGTATGAGCGAGCTCCACTGTGACAAGGCTCAAAGACCTTCTGGAGATGCCTGCGGAGCATCCGTCCTGCTGGGAATGGGCGGGAGCGTGCTGGAGGCTGAAGGAAATGCAGCAGGCTGAGCACTTTGCTCAAGAAACGAGGTTCATTGAGTTGTGCGAAAGCAAGCCCTGACTGTCAGCAGTGCCAGCAAACACTTGCTGTTGCCATATGCTGGATCCAGCTCTCCTTCACCCTGTGCCTTTGTCTGACCATCACAAAACAATTTGGTTTCTTTAACTTGGCTTTTGAGCCAGAGCAAGAGCTTAATACAGCTCTTTGGAGTAATTTTTACCTCCATTCCAGCTGACTAGATTAGTCTGCAGATAATGCTAGGAGTGAATAAGAGCCTCAGCTCCGAGGGAGCTGGAACGTAATTACACTAGATGAAGGGTACTCTCCGCAGCTCCTCCAAGAGTGCTGAGATTAGACTGTAATCATTGTTTGTAAGCAGACAGGAATGAGGGGTAATCAGCCAGGCAGCCCTGACACGTTATTCCAGGAATTAATATTAGCTTCCTGAAGTAGCTCATCAATTCACACTTACCCGAAACTGCAGAAATCAACAGGTCCTGCCTTCCCGAGGCAGGAGCTGCTGAAGGGGCCGGAGGGAGCGTGCGCAGGGCACGAGCTCGGGGCTCACCAGGTCAAGCCTGCTGGTGCAGGAGGGACTCGGCCTTCCCAAGGAGCTTCGCAGATCTCTTGGCTCTGCGGGGAGCCAGGCTGCTGCGGTCCCTGGTTGTCTACAAAGAGATTGGGTAATGCAACACCAAGAAAAACCTCTGAAGCTTGCAGCCTGGCAGTGCAGCCCTCGCTGGTAGGCTTCTGTCCGTGGAGAGCAAGCCGGGTGCCCTGTGCTGGGGAGGGGAAGGGAAGTGCTTTCTTCTTTAGCCATCATCTTTAGCCTGCAGAGCTGCAGCAGGAGGGAGTGCTTGTGCTGGAAAGAGGTAGGGAAGTTTCCTTTTGGTTTTGAAGAAAATCCTTGCAAGTGTGCTTGGTGCTGCTCGAATCCTGTCCCTAATTATAAAGCCTGCGGGTCCCAGTGAGCACAGTGAGAACATCGAGTACAGACACAAAGCTAACACTAGGCAGCGAAAGTCTTGACGTTTCTCTGATGTGAAACAAGAAGAGAAGGGATAAAAAAGCTTGCAAATCCAGGCAGAAATCATTAAGAGAGTGAGGGTACTCATAAAATCACTGGTCTCTGCGAAAAGCTAGAGGAAGAATTAGGGCTAATAGGGAGATGCCCTGGTGCGAGTGATGGATAAGAAAGTGGTCAGTGGCATCCCAGTAAAACTCCCCAGACCATTGGAGTCGTTTGGGTTTCAAAAACCACACGCATTGCTTTCACCAGAGCTCGCTGTTGCCAGCCAGGTGGTAGGACCATTACAGCCTGAGCGCGTTGCCCTGCCTCGCTTCCCTGCTTGCAGCAGTTCGCACTGCAGAGCCCTTTTGCTTCCGTCAGTTTGGGAATAAATCAGCAACCAACCTATTGATCGTATCTCTCGCAGTGTTTTACGTACATTAGTTATGTGCTTGTGCTCTTTAATGATGCTACTGCTCTGACAACTCACTAAATATGACACAGCTTTATGGGTGGCATTGTTAATGCTTTAGTAGTCAAAGGTTAGCTGCTATTATTAACAACATTAGGACTGGCTCCTGTATGAAAAATAAGTCGAGGCAGATGCTTTATCTGAAAAGCCTGCAGTCTCAAAGCAAAACCTAGAGGAGCGCTGAAGGAAGAAACAGCAGAGGAGCAAATGGACAAGGCGGTGGTTGGCACAGTGTCATGAGCTTACACGTGTGGTTGTTGGTTCATTTGGCTTGTTAATTGGCAGTAGAGGTAGGTCGAAGGGCACAGCAGGAACCTGGCAGCGAGCAAGAGGAAGAGGGACAGAGCCTGCTCGTCACCTGCCTGCCTTGATCGACTGCCAAAGTTTTGTAGCATTCTCTGCAGGAGGGCGTCTGGAAAGATTTGAGAGGAGGATGTGTTAATGTCTGCATGGGTTGCTCCCAAAAGGCCTCTTCCAGGCTGGAAAGGTAGCGTAGGGAAAAGCAGGGGGGAGCTCGAGGGTGAAGCTGTCTTCTGGGCATCAAAACTGCTGCCTTCCTCAGAGCAAGGGGGGTCTCTGGCTGCCAGGGGTACCTGCGTTAAGGCAGGGCTGTATAAGGAGAAAGTCGTGATGGTAAAGAGGAAAGAGTAAATTTGTGTTAAGCCTGGAAAGGTGCATGAGGAGAGGGAGGAACAGCTGGAAGAGGAGTTTGAAGCAAGTGGATAAAATGAGCTATGCTGAGGATGTGCAGCCATGAATTTACATCAGATGGACATAGTTATTATAGTCAAAATCAGAGAGGAGGAGCTGCCTAAACTCATTTCTTCTTGCTGCATTTCTCATTTAGATATATTTTTTTATATCTAATGGATCTTTGTGCAGTCAAGCTTGGGAACGAGAACAGTTCTATTTGCTTTGGTCGGAGCAGCTAATAGGGCAGAGAGGTGGGGTTGGCTGATGGATATCAGGTTTTAGAAACGAATTGTTTTTCTAGCTCCTAGTGCTGCTTTGCTAAGGGACTGGGGCATGTATCTGGTTTTAGAAATCTCGCTGTGTGAATGCTTCTTAAAGAATGGGCAGGAGGGAAAGTAAATTCTTGGGATGAAGAGAGATTATATCTGTGGGTGACATTCTATCTCATCTGGCTATGCATTCATCCTCTGCTCATCACCATCCTTGTCGCACAGAGACGTTGAGCCTCGAGTACCTGCAGATTGGTGTCAGCATCTCTAATGATGGATTATTAATACTTCCCAAAGCCGTAGTACCCTATACAGTAAAAGTAATAAGTATCCCAGTGCCTGGCTGCAGGACTGGAAGATTTATTGCTACGAGCAGCAAAAAAGCAACTGGGGAAGTAGGGGGGTTGCTCAAAGATGTTTTAATATCCCAGGTCCCAACATTCCAGCTCATCTTTACCAAAGGAGTTATCAAATCAGGAAGTCCAGTGGGAACAGACAGAAGATGTTATCAATGCTGTTGTAGTGGAGGACTGTGCCAGCACTCTTCATAAAACCCGTCTGTTTCTAGATGACTATAAATAGTCGGTAA